TCCTTGCACGTGAAATATGGGGCGAAAATAAACATCGGGAAACTTTGTACTGCGATATTAAAGGAAATTTATCATTCTTTGTGGAATTTCACGGAAAATATTACCAAAATAACAATAAAAGTAAAACGAAATGTTGGAGTTTGGCAACGCGATTTACAATATGTACGAATGAAGAAGGATGTAGACGAGCAAAGTTTGCGAAAAAGTGCCGGAAATTGGACGTTTTCATTGGGGATAAATGTATCATTAATCTTAAATAGGTGTGAGATATATTCCACAATTCGCTGTTTTGTCTTACGGATCACTCTTCAACCTGTTCTTCATTACTATTTGCACATCTGTGTAGTATTACACTAGCCTGTATGTATATATATATATATATATATATATATATATATATATATATATATATATATATATATATATATATATATATATATATATATATATATATATACCTCTGCTTAATGTAGCAGTTTCTTGCTTATGGAAGCAAGTGCCCAGTGATGCGATGGATAAAGTGCAGGTCTACAAGTTATTGCAAAACTGATTACACCATCTAATTGCTCATCTCCGCCACATACGAGTTTTTGTGACCATATTTTTCAAATTGTGAACATAAGTGATAAAAAACGATCTCCGTAAGTTTTGACTGTAAGATACGGGTTTATTGGACAAATCGAAATATTTTTATACAAAGAGTATGATGGTATTGTATGTATTCGTTTTGAAACACCTTGTATATGTTGCTACTTATTAAATACATATTGTAGAACATTGGAAATAGGGCTTCATCCTGGGTCATTATTAATTACATTAAAAAACTGGGAATATGCATGCAAACTTCTTAAAGTTGGGTTCACTCCACACTTCGCTGAAACTGTCACATCGTTCAAATACGGACATTTGTGAGCAGTTTCAGTTAAGCTCTGAAGAAGCCAACAGAATGATTGGCGAGACGTCAGCAAGTTCGATTCAACAACAACCGCCGCAGGAGGAAACTAGAAGATTTGTAAAGAGTTTAACAGTAACCTGTAGAAGTTTCTTTGAAAAATTAATGCAAGGAGTGTTCCCTAACCTGTGCTTGTTCAGTATTTTTCGTTTACTGCAATTGCATTCTATTTCTACCCCACCCGTACTCGTTCGTACAATTTGATCGATACTTATAATTGACCGTTTGATTTTAAACTATGGAACAAAGATGATCGGCTCATATCGTCCTAATCTATTGTGTCCAGGCCCCAACGCGGAACACTGCGGGACGCACAATTACTTCGCGTGAGACGCGTTACATAACAGCCGAGGCGAAAGATTAATAAACTTGAGGTCGAACGGTTCGGATATTGTCAGAGATACACACACAGACACATACATCAACGAAAAGGTTAATAGAGTGCACGGGTATCGTTTTTGAGGCTTCAACAGAAGATTTTTATTGCTTTCGAAATTTGCTAATTAATTTTCAAACGAAAAAAAAAAGGAAAAGGAACGTTGAAGCTTTTTGCTCGACAGAGTCGGTCCTAAACATGCTCCGTCGACATTTAAGACGTCGCCGGGAATTGATTCGAAATGTAAACACGGCTTGCTCTCCTCGCGGTCGTACGGTTTCTGGATGTGAGGAATTTCGCCGGTGTTAATTAATTCGCGATGGGTCGCGTTTGTGTTTTAACTCGTTTATTTAAATAAAAAGTCGTTAAAATTGACAGCCACACACGTAGAGGATAGTTTTACAAATAATGTCCGCGGCGCGCTGGAAATGCCGTCCGTTTTTAACGGCTTGATAAATTTCGAGGTTTATGATGTCGAAGGTTTTATTGAATTGCCGTTTGTAAACACTAAAAACGCTTGTGGTGCGATTTTTTCTTTTAGAGCATTTGGGTAATTACAGTCAAACTCCCTATAACGTATATACACACTTATTACGAAGCAACGGTTATAATGTACCATGTAAAAAGTCCCGACAATTCTTATGAAGCATTCAATAGAATCACCGTTTTTTGTAACGTTCTCGGTTATTACGTACTTCTGATACAAAGTACAAAATTTCCGAGTCGCAACCTCCAAAAATTTCATTATATAACACACTTTTAACAGTGGCTTATCATACAATCTGAGGTAGATGGAGACAACTTGCGTGTTTAGTTAACCAAAAATAACTTTAATTTGGAAAAATTCAATCTCCTATGGTAGATGTTGATATCGATAATGATATTGCGACAATCAACAAAGAAGTGCCCTAAGAAACATCTTCAACTTTTGACGACACCGTAACAAGGACCAAAAATGTAAAACAATTTTTTCAAACTTGAAGTAATATAGAAGATCGTATTTTAAGCGCATATCTGTAAATATAGACGTATTTACAGCAAATTATTCTGATAAATCGCCAAAAGCAAACTCGAATCACAGACTTTTTTACAAAATAGTTTTTGATTTTATTATTATTTTTTCTTGTATAATGTGGACACGTATGACTTACCACGCCAAATACATACTTCTATTCAAAAATGTAAAACAATTTTTTCAAAGTTGAAGTAATATAGAAGATCGTATTTTAAGCGCATATCTGTAAATAGAGACGTATTTACAGCAAATTATTCTGATAAATCGCCAAAAGCAAACTCGAATCACAGACTTTTTTACAAAATAGTTTTTGATTTTATTATTATTTTTTCTTGTATAATGTGGACACGTATGGCTTACCACGCCAAATACATACTTCTATTTATTTTAAAATTGTTTTCTTTTTAAAACAAAATAAATCGTTTGTTATGTCGTTTATAATATGTAGTATGTTCAAGAATTAATGAATATAAAAATCTAAGCCTATGTTTTTAATTATTTTCTAACGAACTTTTGATATAACGTACCTATTTTTAAGATCTCGACTGGTACATTATAACCAAGTTTTTATGTATTTTGATATTATTAATTGGTTATTGGCAAGAATTCATAATGTAAATCTCAATCAGCCTTATGGGTTTGGTTAATAAATCAAAATAACTTAAGTAATAATATTAATAAGTTAAACATCATCGTAATCTGGTAGTAATGGATGTTTCATTATGAACCCTTGGTCTCGCGCATGAGAACCCTGTTAAAAGTGTAACCGAAGTCTTGCTTTTGCAAAGTATGTCATCTTGACTTTTGACAGATCCTATTGAATATAACTTTTAACGGCATTAGATGCAAAACAAATAGTGAAAATGTGTATGTATGTGTAATAAGTAGAGGATTTATTAAACAAAGAAGCTTTAAAAGAAGCGTAGTGATTTTCAATCTCACCACCTGGAGAATTATAAAATAAGGATAAGGGTAATAAGAAGAAAAATATATTCCCTTTATCAAAACCAGGTTGTCCTTAATTTGGAATAACTGAATAGGAAAGTAGAACATAAAACCAAAACCTCCAGGAAATTAAAAAGTATCCTTAATTCATTTTTCCAGAACATTTAACAAAATTCAAATATTTTCAGAAGGTACTGCCGTAAAATGCCGCACCAAAACTTATTGACGATCTGCTGATTATTGAATTTGAAGAATTGAATTGAAGATTATTGATTAAAAAAAGAATTTTAGATCTAGCGCATGTGCGTGTAAGGGACCTTCTCACAATATCCAGAGGATGGGTTGATTCCAGTAAAAACCTTCAAACTTATTTAGGCGATTGTTGATCATTTGTATATATTTAGTGGCATCGAATTCTCTTTTGTCTTTATATTTTTAAAACACCTAAAAAATCCGTCCCTGTTGCTCTGTCGTACAATATCGACTGCCGTGGACAGGTTATTTCACTAATTGCTGTCAAAAGCCAAGACGATCAATTTTGAAACAGGCAAACGATTATAGTCCTCAGAATGATTGCTACCTCATTTGCGACACTTGCGTCCTAAAATGAAGATGCATTTAGGACTTGGTGTTTTTTCACAGTGAGAAACAACGTGGTTTTTTTGATAGATTTTTGTATGTGGTTTGCCAAAATTTTACTGCCTATGATATGGACTAATAAGGAAGTTTGATGGATGGAATGTTAGCAAATAAAGATATCCAGAGTCCTTTGCTGCTTTTTTCATTCCATACAATACATAGAAATTTGATATAATACCTTTTTGGCGGTTTGTGAAAGATTGTGCTTATGCCGAGATGCAATTACTACAATTAAAACAGCGAATTTTAAAGGCTGCTGTAAAATTGAAACGTAAAACCCAATATTGTTCAAAAAAAAATATTTATCACTGAATGCCTTTGTAATATTACGAAATTTAATCAAAATTAAGAGATTGTGTGATGGTGGATCTGTTAGGACTGGTCGCTCTTTTGAAGGAAAGTAACATAATAGCTCTTAGTGTTTGATTCAGAAAAAATACGTTTCGGTCAGATGAGGTTAATATTTGCTCCCTTTCTCGTTTCTTGTAATTCACTGATACTTACTAGTTCAGTCTGAAATATAGCTTAACCGATTACAGGAACACCCGGGGATATAGGCTAATGTGTAAAATATCCCAAAGGAAAAGGTGAATTTATATTAAATAAATCGACTTCATTTTCCGTTTACTGTAAGTCTTAGCTAATATAGCGTGTTCTGTCAAATTCATCATATTCGATACATTGAAAATTATCTATTCAAAATTCCATCAAATGCCTAGAAGATGTATCTGATATCTACTATTTGTTTCATAAAATGGCCGATAGATTTGGTAAGTTATAATTACAATTCCGAATTTCATTATTCATTATTAATTCTGTTTGCCAAATAACCTAAAAGTACTGCTAATTGTTTGCAAAATCGACTAATCTATCTAGCCCTTTAAAATTGACCTCCGGTATTTCGTAGGATTCGTATGATTCGAAGTTTTCTGAAACCTGCACGTTCAACACATTTTATTTTCTTAAGGCAATTTGCTTAAATCGCAAACGTCCATCTGGCTCATTGCATTGGTCGCGATTATAAGCTTTCGTCGAATTGAAATGAATTTTTTTAAAAATATGTTTGGTTTCAGGTGGTCAGCCAGCCATGGATACTGTCGCCGGACACAAACACGGGGGACCTGACAAAATTATGCAATCACAAACGAAAAATGTGCGCTATGGCGTCCTTGAATTGCAAACCGCCCGACCCCAACGTAAAGGCCGCCAAAGGTGAGCGATTAATTTCAAGATAAAACAACAAAATTTTCAATTTGCGTCCGCAGTCACTGTGCTACGGAAAGTTAGAGACGATATTAGGTCTTTAATTGCCAAGAAAAAAGAGTTCAAAATGTGTATGGAGGGATTGTTTTCTTAGCTCATATAAAGTCCATTAAAAGTTCGAGAAGCTTTTAAATTACTTCCACCGCGTCGCTGTCTTCTCGCTGTAATTCCTTAGAAAACTGTTTTACCAAGGCGCGTCGCTTTTTCGAAGTTGTTCGTGACAATGTTTAACTTTTAAACAACTAAATTGATGTCGGGAAACGGAACGGTTAAATATTAATTGCCTCTTTGCGATATAGTGCGGCTAAGTAGCGAAAAATAGATTTGGAGAGTAATTAAAATTTATTAAGTAACACCGGTTGCGACTCGGTAACGCCAAGAAACAAAGATATAAGTAAAAAAACATTTTTAGTAGTAGGTTTTATACAGTACAGGTGAAAAAGATGGGTCAACCCGCTAATGATATACGAAATACTAGAAAAAGAGTGTATCCGGTACATATTAATCGCCCTTTAAACGCTTTTTATTTACTTGTTAAAAATTTACCATTTTTACCTTTTTTTATATTCCCACTATGTGCAGCCTGACTTCTTAGACACGCGTTGAATTTTGCAGTTGAGTTATCAGTGTAAACAATAGAAATCATACATTTATTTATCCCGTTTTATTTACAATATTTTTTCGCCCCTGTGTGCGTTTGTATATTAACGAGGAATGTGGAACATTTAACTTAAATTTGTTCTATTGTTGAAAGTACGTAATTTTTTAAAAATATTTCTAATTATTTTTTTTTGATCTTGTCATATAAAACAAAATATGTTATTAATTATTAATTAATTAATAACTTTTAATGTACTAATTGGAATTTATTAAAAAAAATTCCAGATAAAAATATTATTTTTTAAGCAAACCTGAACGCTCCCAATTTAAGTTAGATAGCTTCTAAACTTATTTGGAAAAATGTTGAAATTACATTATTTAAAAATTTATACAAAGAACCAACAAAGAACATTTTGAAAATCTGCATAAGTAATAATCATTGTGGGCTTGCTTCTTGTTCTTATTTTCAGGTCAGCATCGCGCTATATAATGTTAAGTTGATTCAATGACATTTTCAAGCAATTTAAGTAGGCACAGGTCTGTTGACCTGTTTTTTTTTCTTTTTGTTATTCTAAAGGGCGTTTTAAGAGAAATTTTTGACAACCATCCGATAAAATTCAAATTGCGACTTAATTTTCAACATTCTTTTATCTTAATATTTATTAAAATAAAAATAAAAATTTGAAATTAAAAAAGTCTTAGGTTTGCAAAAATATAAGATTTGTAGTTTCTGGCGAAATTAACCACCAGCATCGAATTTCCTTCACTACTACTAGGGCTTCAAAGATTCACCACACATACACAAAAGAACAGTCACTGAAGCTTAAAATGAATTTTATCTTTATTTTTAGTTGCAAGTGCAAACTTTGAGTTATCCTTCTGGTTGTTTATCCATTCTGTGACTCTGCACTCCTATCAAACCGTGTTTTCCGTGTTTTTTGGGTTGCTGGCGAAGGTGCCGGGTCGTTACATTATTACAGTACGGCAATTTGAGTTTGTTTATAATTATAATTTTATTATTTCTACCGTATTATCATTGAACATCATCGGTCTCTTGGACAATAAAGCCTTATAATAATTACTTTGAAATAATGTTTGTTAACCCTGTAGAGGCTAGTGATTTTTCAAGGTCAACTAACCAACTAGCATGTCAATAAATATTGTTTATACCCATTAATTTGAATCCCCTTTATTGTCTGTCCCGTTTTATTGATCCCGTTGAGGGTAATCCTGTCGAAGGGGAGTTATTTGTTGTGGTCAGCGATTCGAATTTATTAGAGACAGAAAGGGTAGCGTTAACCGTCGTCGTCAGACTCGACAATCCGGATAAAGGGACACATAATCGATACTGGCACGATGTCGTTATCATGTCGATACCGTCGACGTCTGAGGGCACACGATTATTAATTTTAATATTGTGGCAATTTTAAATTTTATGCTGCAATAAAATCCGATGTTGGGATATAACTAACTATATATAATCAAAGAAGAGCATTGTTTTCATTTTAACGTGACGAGCCCAGACAATGTTGCCAGTGCTGGACATCGCCTAGTGTTTTTACCGAGACACGGACCATACACAGAATAATATTTTTGTTTATTTAAATTAGAAATTTAATTATTATACTTTTATAAAATGCAATGCTAATATTTCGTTAAACATTATAAGATAATAAATAGTTCTTTTTTTGAGAATAGCGATATGGTTTTTAAGAGGTGTCCTTTTTTAATATGACAACATTCGAACTGGTGATACCAGTGAAGGGAGTTTTTCCCCTCGATTTAAAATAAATAAGTAAATAAATAAATAAAGACGTCTTTATTTTCCTGCAACAATTAACATATTCTTATATAAACAAAAAATCCACAATATTTTTTGTTTATATAAGAATATAAAAAATATTGTGGCATAACTCAGGTCGCCACGTCAGAAGAAGTATCGGTTAAGATTGTTTAGTAGATTTTTATTTGGTATAGAAGGTTTGATGTCCGGTTCCATATTTATGTTCAGCAACTGCTGACGAGTTTATTCTTTATTCTTTACCGCATATACATCGAATGCTGTAAACTCCTGGTGTCTCAAACAGAATTTTCTTTTGATATGTGGTCAGTAATGTTTTGAATGTAGGGAACACAGTGTGGGGATGCCTTTGAACTCTTTTTGTTGGGGAGGTTGTGGTGAAGAAGATTTTGTAATGGAACGCTTAATGTCTGTGAAAAGTATTTGAATTATGTAAGTTGCATTTAATTCTGGGTCTATCGATTCGGGTTGAGATATTTCTATTTACAAGAGAGTTGATGTGGTGGGCTAATGATGTGATACTGCATATAGATATGCTGTGTACGTAGGTTTTCTGTAAACTGAATGACCCAAGGTTAGGTCTGATTTTCTATTAATAAGAGTATCTAAAAGAGCGAGACTATTTATAGTTTCTAATTCCATGGATCTAGTATAATGTTTTTTAATTGTTCGATGGAGAAAAAAAGCAATTAAGTCCAAAACTGTCAATTTACCTTGTAAAGAGTTTTAATATAGAATCTAGATATTTTGCTAGAGAATGGGTTGGAGAACCAAAGCGCTACTCCTGTTTTGTGAATCTAATCTACGAATTTTCGAGTCGTCAAAGGTGACAGATTGTTTCACAGATTGCAATAGAGAAGAAGCTTTAATAGCAGATTTAAAGTTAAGCGTTTCATAGATGACGTAAGGTCTTGTTTAAGTTGACAATAGTCATTTGAGATCATAACTATCGTACCATTTCCTTTATCTGCTTTAAAATTTACTGTGTATGGATTAGATTTTAGAACTTTTAATGCTTCGCGTTCGTGCTTTAGATTTGTTAAAGATCCTTGCGGTTTCAAGTCGAATTTCATTACGTGTTTGAGTTGACATTTTATTGTGGATTGACTCAACACTTGAAATGATTTAATGCGTGGGGCAAGGACGAAGTTGGAACTTTTTAGGCAATTTAGGCAACACTGCTCACGACGTACGAACCTTGCCTAAATGCCTATATTTGCATAACCACAACAGCAATTTTATATGCAGTTTCTTTATGTTGAACGTCTGTGAATATAACTTATCGAGGAGGTCGGCAGGGCCATGACGCCTCTGCTCCTGCGAGCGTCCTTTGATGATTACGAGAGGTTTTCCAGGGTAAAATTTGATTTTCCGACTTTGCCTCGATTTTAATTCGCAGCGGGATTTTCAAGTGTGTATGTGTGTGTCTGTGTGTGAGCGGGTACGGGTGTATATGCCGCGTTCCGGTTTAGCATGCAAATTGAAACTTTGTCAGACAAAATAAATAGAGGGTTAAAACTATATCTGGTTTGAATGTCGAACGTTTGATCAGTTTTTGAATGCGTTGGGTCCTCGTTTAAGGGTGTCGATTGAATTTTGTAAATTGCGAATTGCGGGGGTCGACCGAATATGGTATACCGATACCATCCAAACAATTTTTTTAATGTTTTTTATGAGATTATTTTTAGAAGGTTAACGAATCACTATATCCACTAATTGCCGGTATTCTTCGAAAGCTGTCGTAAAACAAAAAAAAATACACTCGGGTTAAAAAAAACCGTCATGCGGAAGCTAGCGTTACCACCCTTAAAACTTGCACTTTTTGTATATTTTATTTGTGGTGGGAAAACCCCTGATAATGTCCTGTCTGAATAGTAGAGAGGTATAAAAAGGTATTTGTGATATAATTTATAACCGAATGCATATGAAGAAATTAGAAAATGTACAGGTATTGATACAGATGTGTCGGAAAGAACCAGTTCAAATGACAAAAATTAAGCGACTTTTTTTTAAATCGCTAGATTCACTGGTGACCACGCAGTGACCACCATTAATGAAATAACCTGACAAGATAAAAGTTCAAATTTTGATATCACTAATAGAACCACCCAAACATTAAAAACATTAAAAATTGGGGCTGTGAAGGTTGATAAGATAAATAAAATTAATATTACTATCACGAAATTTTTTGGTTATAAAATGAGGCACGACAATTGTATTTTTTACGAAAAAAAAAACGACAAATACATAAATCATTAAGAACCTTCCACTAGGGAACTTTTAGATATAGATACTGTTCTCAGTTTGGTCACCAAAAGTGGGTTGCTGGGATTTTAACAAGATCATTCTGACATCCAAAATTTGACAATTTTCGAAGAATTATCCTTAAAGGAAAAATACGAATAGCAATATGTAAACTAAGAAAAGTTACATTTATAATTAAGAATAAAGAGGAAATATTTCTGGTTAAATTGCAAATTCTAAACCAAATAAACAATGCTATTAAATAGAAACTGAGTCTAATAAAGAAAAAAAAATTATTTTTTTG